AATAAAAAGGGGCAACATATACTCCTTTTCAGCCATGTATGTTCTATTCTCTTCTATTCAAACTAAAACGCTTTTGCCTTATATGTGTTTTTCTTTGTCACAATCAAATGGGAAAGCTTTTACCATCACTTAAATAAAGAGTGGTTAAGGCTTTTCTTGCCTGTGAGAGAATTCCTTCAATAGATTTTTACACAATTCCCCAGAATCTAAGCTTTAAGATTCAGGGCTTGTTTACACAGCAAGCCAGGACGTGAATCTACAATGCACAAGCTCGCCGAGCAGTAAGGTCCCACATAAATACAGGACGTCAGACTAAATGATTTAATGGTCCCTCTATGAAAATATGAAACATGGACACTGCTACAGCGCAGCGGAAGTCTCACAGCAAGGCTTAGCATACTGTACTTACAAGTAAAAGTATGCACAGCTGCACACTGGGACTTCTGCTGTGGTGTAGCAGCGTTCACACAGGACATTCCTGGGCAGCAAGGCAGTGCCCTGTAGAATCACACTCTGACGTGCAGTGCAGTAACTTGCCATGTAGCCAAGCCCTCAGTATCAACCATTGTGGGTAGAACATCTTGTTCAGTGCCGATGCTCACATCAGGCATGTTCTGATTTTCAAATTATCAGAACTTTGCTCATCTTTAAGTGGAACATAGTAACAAACAAAGGAAGTGTTTTACATCAATTAAATAGAGCCGCTGTATATTCGCTAATTAAATGAGAACAATTTGGGGGTGAGTTCTGATTTCCCTGACTTCATCAAGGAGTCTGCCCCAGGCAAAAGGGATGAGTAAATAAACTGAACTAACAAGTCTCTAAAAATATCCTGTACCAGTGGGGAAAAACTCCGTTAAAGTATTTTTTTTTAAACCAGTGATAAACATCAATCCAAATTTTTCGATCCAGTCTCCACATCTTACTGTGGGAGAAAGTTGCAATTCTCCATATTCCTGTCACTCTAGTTTGGAGACAGTGAAGGGTATTTTTAATCTATTCTGGTAAGGAAAGGATCCCAATTTTTAATGAAGGTAGCTAATTTGGTCTCTCCTGCAATATATACACTTGTTAGCTTGACTACTCTCTCTGAGACTGTTGTACTAAATTAGGAGGGATGGGACTTTTCCACTTCTAAGCACTGACTGGTCTGACAACAAATAATAGAGCATCAATCAACCTCCCTCTCGTCTAATTAGCAAGCAAAGTCCATTGACTGATAACGTGAATCTAAAATATGACTTATCCTGTTATAATCCGTATGCTGATATTAGACATTTTCAGGAGATGGCAGAGTAAATATCAGTCCTGTTTACAAATACCCCAGCATTCCCTACAGTTTTGCAAAAGGAAGGATATAACTTGGCAAGGTGATAATATCCTGAACCTCAGTGCAAGAGAGTGATCTGGTTTGGGCCGCCCACATAAGGCCCAATGGTGCAATATGCTGAGCATCCTCAACATCCAATTACTTCAATAAGAGTTGAATGTGAATAGGTTTAAATAAAAAACACTGTTTTTTAATGGATTTTTTTCATTGGGCGAGTCCGATGGGCCAGCTTTTGCAATCCATTACAGGTTGATGGAAGGGTCACACTGGCCTATTACGGACTGCAAAATGGGTTTGAGTCATACAACAAAAACACATTGTTTAAAAACTAGTTTGAGCCTTAAAAACCAGTGAGATCTGTAGTGTCCTGTGTGAACATGAAACAAAATGCAGTTGTCATATTTTGGTCATTTGGGGCTGAGGGTGGGGATCTGGTGAGGGGAATGCTCTTGAGCCTTCTTGTGGGCCCCAGAGGAAGGGAGACATAGGGAGGGAGGAGCCATTTTCCAGGTTACCCCCCAAAAATTAAAGCAGCCCCTCCATAATATTCATGCTTCTCCCATCCCCACACTAATTCATGTTTCCCTCCTGCACACTTAATGCAGGGTCCCCTTTCTCCCTTTCTATTAAGGCAAGACTCCTCCAAAATGAATGCCTGTTGATTCCTCTCTATCTTGGGGTAGGGGTGGCAGCTGCTGTTCCAGGGGACAGCCTGATCCCAAGTTGCTTTTGCTCTTGTTATAGGCCTATCTGTTCCTCTCTCCCCTGCCTGCAAAGGATCATGAAAGAGAAGGCGGGGGAGCTACCCAGAAGCTAAGAGAAAATTTTGGATAGGGTAAGGGGGAGAAAGGGGAGGACCTGACAATTCACAAAGCGGGAAAAGGAGAGGAGGGACCAGAAAGAGCTCAGCTGCCTGGGCCCAGCTCTGCTCCCACCTCCCTTCTCCTTGTTCCTGTGAATTATGCGTGGGCCCTGCAGAATGGCTTCCTCCTCTTCCCTAGCTAAAATCTACTGTTGGCTCCTGCTAGCTCTTTAGACCCCCTCTTTGTTCCTAGGAGAGGAGGGACAGAGAAAAGCATGGGGCCCAGAGCTATAACAGGAGGGTTCTCCTTCTCCTGCTACCTACAAGCCAGCAGCAACTTGTTCTCTGGAGTACGCTGCTTGAGAAACTGGTATGGGAGGACCGGGACTGGACTGAACTGAATGGAATGCCACATAATCCCATACATCTGAGAGCCCTAATGGTGTTGGTTTTACTTTTTGCGCTACTGGGGCAATTACAGATACTGATTCAACTTCTTTTGTTTACAGTTTGTCTCTATCAGTTTCACTTGCTGGTTCTCCTGAATTAGCAGAGCGTTGCAAATGTTTGGGTTTCAAATCCTGCAAGAGATGTTTCCACTGAAAACTTAAAGTTCATGGAAATTTTTCTACTGCAGCTTGTCTTTGCAAAGATTTTGTTTTTTTACAAAACAAATTATGAGCCTAAAACTGCCTGACAGTGCCCCTTTAAAGAGTTCTGACATGGACAGGTGATTGCTGAGGACTGCAGATGACAAAAGGGGAGGGCCAAGAGGAAAATTCAGTTGAAAAGTTTAAAGGCTCCATTATTTGGGCTCAGGTAAACTTTTTTTATTAAACACTAAGTAAATTCTGTGGCCACACATAAGGTTCACAAACATATGAAGCAGTTTACATACCCATCATTCAAGAAATCTATGAGAGCACTTTAAATTTCTTTGGTGTATACAGTAAAAAGCATTCATCAAAAGAGAAGCAAGAAAGGGTTAGAGAAGCTCAACTAACCACTGAAGGATACTTAGACTCAAGGACCTGGCACTTTCACCATCTTCTTTTGTAAAATAGAATGTGATCTCACACTGGGAAGGACAGAGAAATGTCTCAATTACAAAATACCAGACCGTGCTAAGGAAGCAGGGGAGACAGTGCAAATACTTTAGTTTTCAGTGTTAGCTTTGTACCAGATACAGTGTATCACATCTTATATAAAATAATATTGTATGCACTCTACTCATTCTTCTATTTTCTAGTGTTTAGTGTGTCATGTGTACATTACTCTCCACTTGTTCCTCATGAGGTGAAGTAAAACTGGAATTTGCAGCTTTCTTTTTCCTCTTCATTCTCATTATGGGTCACCTTCATAGCTAGGGGTGTAGTTCCCTCCTGCTGTGCTTCTGCTCCTCCATAATCAAGCTTTCTCTGCCAACAGTTCCAATTCTGGAACAAAACCATTCTCCTCTATGGTATACTACAAGGTTCAGTTCTCATCCCACGTCTTTTTTTCTATATATCTTCTGCCTCTTGGCCTTTTTCTCTCTACTTTCAATTGTATGTAAACCCTCCTGTGCCTTGGCTTAGTCAATTTGTGATTTCTGTCTAAAATTATTTTAGTGAAGTATCTCAGAAGAACTGCCCTTCTTTTGAGAGACAAGGTGGGGGAGGTAATATCTTTTATTGGACCAACTTCTATTGGTGAGAGAGACGAGCTTTATTACACAGAAGCCATAGATATTATAACAATCTATATCCCACTAACATCCCCTCCCCTGCCCAGATGCTTCCCTCCCTTCTGTTCCTCCCTATGATGGAGGGGTGTTAATCGACCATATGACCCTGAAAGGTCCCTTGAAATATGTGTTAAATATTCATGCTAAACAATGTGTTCTATCTTGTATTTAGCTGTGACACTCCCAGACCTGAAGAAGAGCTCTGTGTAAGTTTGAAAGCTTATCATACCATAAACTGGAAACTCCTATTACTCAAGTTTCTCCTACCTCACATCCCAAATAGTAAGTCACATTCCTAATCACACCAGGTACCTTGACTGTCTGGCAATATGAGACGCCACTTAAATGAAATAATTATGTTTGCTCTACAGCTTTAATTATGCATCCCACTCAGATGAAAGTCTAACAGATCAGTTTCTGTTCTTGCCAATGGGTTTTTTTGAATCAGTGACCATAAAAGTTCACTTTTAGCAACATAATATTGCCTAGCTAAAAATGAAGGCACTATATTTCCTTTCTTCACAATCTCTTCATTAATCTGGAACAGGCCTCATAACCCGCTATGACCTTTTCAACAGTATCTTTGGGGAGCACAAAATGCAGAAAGATACCAGAAAGATTACTTAACCTGTTTTCCTTCCTTCCTTCCATCCATCCATCTATCTAAATACTGCTGCATAGTCAGTGCAAGTGAACATATGGTTAGCTGCTACAAAGGGTCCCAAACCTAAAGGCAGATTTATGACTAACATTTTCTGATATTAGTTCCTTTAGGTGTGATGAAACAGTTTAAATTTCAGGTTGTTTTACCATCTATGTAACTTGAGAGAAGACAGAAGCTGAAATTCCTACCTTCTTGATCAGGGCACAGTGGAAAAAAATATAGTAAATTTAATCATCCATATCGCCAGGAGGATTTTATTTTATTTTTTTATTGCTCATCTAATCTCTTGAGCCTTGCACTAAATTGATGTCATGATTTTAGTGGAATGAAATCAAAGAGAAATGCCATGTCTTAATTTAAAGTTCCCTGATCCTTTGATGCTAGAAGTCTGGATTTTTCACACACAAATTAAGCTGCTGTAATAGACATGCCACTGCCTAAGGAACCAAAAAACATGCCAGAATAATTTCTCTCTCACCTCAGCTTTGCGGATACTCTCTCTGGCTTCATCTATTTTCTGATCCAGTTCTGCTCGGCTTTGTTCAGACACCACAGGGCCATGGCATTCTAACTCCTCAAGTGCCTATCAAAAATAAGAGAAAGATGCCATATACTTGGTACATTCATGTGCACTGTCTATAAGATAGTATCTGAGACAATTCACGGAACTAATCATATTCAGATGCCAGAGTGATGAGTAGTGCTACACTGCAGGATAAAAACTCTGCAGACTGATGCAACCCCATTTAAAAAGTTCAATCTTTTATAGGTAAAATTATATCATAGGAAAACTATTCTGAAAATGCCCCAAAATCCTAGTAAAGCATCATGATGTTACAACTATGATCTAACATTCAAGTGACACTTCACACTCTTGTTCTCATGATGATCTTTACACCTGAAGACAATCCCATCAAAACCCACATACTTTACAGTGCTTGTTGAAGGAGTGAGTTGAGAGATGATGAGTGGTAAGACAAGGTAGGATGGGTGATTTATTTTGTGAGAGTATGGCTTAACTGGTTGGGGCAACTTGCATTCCGGATTTGTATGTCTGCAAGAGCACAAAGTGCTTTTGGGTGAGAGGATTAAAAGAGAGCTGGAGAAAATAAAACAATAATAATCATAATCCTCAAAGTAAATTAACAAAATAACTCCCTGATTCTGGAAAACACTTAAATATTTACTTAATTTTAAGCATGTGTTTAATGCCCCCTGACTTCAGCATATTCTTAAGTGCTAGTGTGAATAGAGGTGCTCTCTTGAAGTGAAGCCCCAGTGAGAAAAATAATCACAAAAATTGTCAAGTCAATGCTGCTGGTAGTCTCACTAAGACATGATACGAGGTGTCCATCCCTCCTGTGCACTTCAACATTAAATTCAAGTTATTATAATCCATGTAATAGATCTTAATTTAGCATCTCTTCAGCTTGTTTGTATTTTTCTCATGTCGCCTGATGCATTTATTTATTTTCAACCTACCCGTTGATTATGGATGATGTTTTTGTGCTCACGTGCCACACGGGTGGCCCATTTCCGGGCTTCCTTGTTTAGGCTGTGCTCCTCCGTTGTCCCGGTTTCAGATTCCAGTTGTCGACTCTGGAAAACAAATCAGAAAGTGAGTAGTTGCTAAGGATTTTGGGGCTGTCTCCATGTATAATACTGTTACTTAGCAATCTGATAACTTTATTTAATTCATAATTATCAGGTTCTTGTAAATTCCTTGCCTGGGCCCTTGTTTGTATGAAATGAGACAACAAAAAGGGAAAAGCGCTGTTTTTCATAAGCTTTGTCATGATACTGTGTTGTGGAAAACTGACTATAAAAGCAAATTGAAGTTCAAAAGAATTTACAATTTACTATTTTGAAGACAAGTCATCTTTACCAGGGAGACAATGCGAGACAGATTTTTTTTTTTTTTTTTTAATGAAAGACATTCTTGAAGTAGAACACTGAAGTATTATTCACCACGGCACAATATCATGGAGCTGAAAAAGAATAAATGCCCCCAAAATAAACTGCTATTCTTAGTTTCCCAGATAAATATGCATTTTAGGCAATATTTAAAAATAGGCATTTCATATGATGTGATGGATCATTTAGGCTTTGTTCAAAAATGGCATTTTAAAACATTATATATTAAAAAAAATACAAATTGGAAAATCAAATTACAATTTCATATGGATTTTAAAGAGTTAACAAAATATGGTACACACATTTACCTGGGATCAAAAAGTTCTCTCTCCCCCAGTACTTCACATGCCAAGTTTCAGACTAAGGATTCTATATCAGAGATATTTGTTGATGATACTGTGCTACTATTATGTCAACTCAGACTTGCTCCAGTAATTGAGAAAGTAAATCTCTCCCCTCCCGTCAGATAAAGTGAAATCAGAAGTCAAGAATCTGAAGGTTTCCCAGTTTTGTACTGAATCGATCCTGTTCAATCTGGATATAGGAGACAAGTTGTTCCATATTTACCTATCATCTCTGTCTCCCATTTTTAAATTTTTTTTGCATTACTGTCATAGCAGATTATCCAATGCATTTATGTATAAATCAATACATTTAGGACAAAAACGACTAAGTTTTACCACCTACTCAGTCCCCATCCTTTCCAGAAAGCATATCTTGTGATATTCCTTAACTATTTATCCGGTTCTGGACAAATTTTGCTCTTGGTATACTGAATAGTGATAACCCTATAGAGATCATTCCTTTCTGATGAAGTGGGCATTCACCCACGAAAGCTTATGCTCCAATACTTCTGTTAGTCTTAAAGGTGCCACAGGACCCTCTGTTCCTTTCTGATCCAATCTCAATACTCCCCCCTCCCTCCAAAAATAGGAATTAGAGTTGGAAGAAATATGCTTAGGTCATCTTGTTCACCCCCACTGCTAATGCAGAACTGTCCCTTACAGAACACTCTCTAGTGCTTTCTTGTATGACTATGTCTCAGGCCAATGGATCTCACTACCAGAAAATTTTTCTTGATCAGTCTAATATTTTTGTTTAATTTGAATCCATAACTCATTCTATGCCTAGTACCACAGGAAAACATTCTTTCTTCATTAGTGTAACCTTGTACACCATTTAGTTTTGTACACTCTTAGACACAGACTAGAGGAAGATAGCTGTTGCCTCAAAGACCACGTGAAAGTAGTAGTAGTAGTGTTTTATCAAGAGATTTCAATAAAAAAAAAGATTGTGTGGTACACAAGAAGGGAAGAGTTTCAGACATAAGAGGCGGCTTCGAACTAGATACAAAAACAAGTGTGAAGAAGCTAGCAAACAAGAAGGCTTTGAGGAGGGCAGACTGGGAGGAGAGGGGGATTAGGAGAAAAATCAGGGCAGAAAGACAAGGCATGAGTTGATCAGTTCTTTTTGGGAATATATGAAAAGTTTGAAATTGATGCAGAGTTTGACAGAGTGTGTGGATTTAATAGGATGAGTGTCATGATTTGTGTGGCAGGAAAGGAAGATTTTAGTAGCAACATTGAGGTGAAAAGGGAGAAAGATTTTTCACCTTTAGATTATAAGGCCTTCAAGGGAGAGACCCTCTAAGTGATTTGCACTGACATTCATACAATGTCATGTACACTGTGATACAATACAATTATTACTAGTAATTTTAAGAGCGGTAAATGTAATGCGTCACTCCTGGATGGGTCACTAGTAGTGGTGATTGACCTTGGATCTCTGGATCTAAAAGCATGAGACATCCACAATCAGTAGTTCTCTTACCTCAAAGCCAGAGGCAAAATCAAACCTTTATATGGTTCAGCCACTAGAAGGGGACAGAGAACCACACTGTTACAGAGCAATAAGAGCAGCAGGATTTGGAGAACCAAGCTTTGGAGGACATGAAGGATGAGGAGGGAGATTATTTACATAAGACTGAGCTTGAAAGCCTGAGTGGTAGAAGGATAGAGCTGTCTACAACAAAAAAAGAGAGGAAAAGTAAGGTGGATTTTTTTTTCCAGGTTCAGTATCATTCAGTTGCCTTCTGCATGTATTTTTAATTTCTGTAGGTACCTCTGAATGATTTCTCTCAGTGTTTACAACACATCCCAATTTATTATCCATCTCAAAATATGCCCCTAGACGATGTCCTTATCACCTATTGCAAACAGATTATTGCATAGGTCATGTGCATGTACTCCAGGTGCTTACAAAGCATAATAAAAGGGACACACCACTTCATTTTCCCCATGCTTTCTTAATTAAACCTTTCTTGTTATAAGTTTCCTTCCATAGCTCAGAGTTCACAGCCAGTAAGGTATCATCAAGAACCTTGTCTGACTTTGCCTTCATTGTTACTCATAGAAATCATCTCTGTAACAAATTACCAACGTCCCCACCGATTGGCTCCCTATAGTCCTGGTTCTCTTGCATATTTAGTTTAGATAAAATATATCTTCTCCATTTCAATTGCTTGATAACATTTTGCATTATCTTAAGTGTGTTTTTATTTTTTTATTACAGTATTTGAATAGAAAATAAAAAAGCAAATTTAGATGCTGGCCCTCTGAGTATGGACTGTTAGTGGATTGTGATGGTTATACCAGTTGGTTATTTATTACTGACTTGAAGAACTGAAGAACACCAACGTCAAAATATTAATTAAAAATAGAGCTTTATTTTAAAAAATCATGCAGGTCACATTTCTCAAAAAGCATCTTAACTGGATCAGTACCTTCCATCCTAAAACTAGAGGGAATAATAACTAGATATGGTACAAGTTAATTTATACTCAGCATTTATACAATTCTTTTATTATTAAATATTTATACCGCAGCATCACCCAGACACCTCAATCAAGTGCTGCATGAACAAATACAAAGACACATTGCTTCCTGAGAAGAGCTCACTAAGAAGAAAGTTTACAATCTCATTTACACTGTCAAAAACATTTGCAAACATTAACTTTCAAATCCTGTTTACCAGATAAGTCTTCAACTTAGATCCCTATCCTGCAAACACTTAGGCATGTGCTCTACTGTAGTGGTTCTCAATCAGGAGTACATGTACCCCTGGGGGCATACAGGGGTCTTGCCGGGGGTACATCAACTCATCTAGCTATTTGCCTAGTTTTACAACAGGCTACATAAATAGCACTAGCAAAGTTAGTACAAACTAAAATTTCATACAGACAAAATGAGAAAGTCAGCAATCTTTCAGTAATAGTGTGGCTGTGACACTTTTGTACTTTTATGTCTGATTTTGTAAGCAAGTAGTTTATAAGTGAGGTGAAACTTGGGGGTAGGCAAGACAAATCTAACTCCTGAAAGGGGTACAGTAGTCTGGAAAGGTTGAGAACCACTGCTCTATTGTATCAAACAATCTACTTGTCTTCACTTTCAAGACCCTTCAGGACCTATCCCCACCCTACCTATCTTTCATACAGTATCGAAAGTTTGACTCCCGCATCTGATGGTGGCAGACTATATTAGACTCTATCCCTCGCTCAATAAATTCACTAACAAGCACCTTTGTGCTTTCTCCCATGCTGCCCTTCACACTTGAGAGGAGACAACCATAAAAAGCTAACTCATTATTCTCCTTCAAATCCCTCCTTAAAACTCTCTTTTGCCACAAAGCCTACAAAAACACACTTGACAACAGTCAGGCTATTGGTGTGCGGGGGTTACTGCCTATCATGCTGACCAAAACTGTCTCATTGTTTTCTGTACTCCTGTTGGGCTGTCTATAGCGGTCGGTTTTCTTTTGTCTTATATTTAGGTTGGAAGCTCTTTGCGGGCAGGGACTGTTTTTGTTCTATGTTTGTACAGCACCTAGCACAATGCAGTCCTAGGCCATGACAGGGGCTCCTAAGCATCATGATAATACAAACAACATTTAATAAAAGATGCTTAATTTTAAACATGGGAGCAATCCCACTGATTTCCAATTACTTCACCGGGACCACTCACATGCGCCAAGTGTTTAGGATTGGGATCTTCATTTGTTGCAAGGTATCTGACTTGATTTAACATCTTTCAAAAAGAGGAAAACTAATCTGCTTCTACTGGCTAGAGAGCAAAGAAAGGGCCCAATAAGCTGAGCTAAATATAGATGAACTTTCTGCTATAGTCTCTCAGCTTGGAGTACAGTGAAAACAGTGTCAAGTGCTAAAACTCAGTCTTTTAAAGCAAGCAAACAAAATACCTGGTAACCTAAAGAAGATGAAGTCACTGACTGGTTGCAAAGTTGAGAGACTAGCAATTATATGCTGGTTCTCAAAAAAATTACTGTATTTAGTTTGTAGTCATGTCTCCAACTTTTGTCCAAAAGGCTATTACAGGTGCAGGATTTGTCTTACAGAGGCAAGTATGCAGCTTGTATATACTCGTACATGCAATTATGCTGGATACTTGTAGTTTTGGCAGTAAGAAATGCTCACTCCCTTGAACCTAATAAAAGATCAACATGTTTTTCTAGTCAAAAAATAACTGTTTGACAAAGAATAGAAAAAAGTAAACATATACTACATGCAAACCACTAACACAAAGCACACCTAAAAATCTCAGCCAGTACTTTTTAAAAGTTCAAAATACGATGCTACCATGCCAATGTCACATTGCAAGACCTACCTTATG